TTGGGAACCAATAATTGGGGAAAGGGAAAAAACTTTTAATTTGATGAAAACCACGGGAACCCTCAGAGTTGGTTTTCACCAGATCAGTGCCAATATGATATATCCAATAAAACTATTCTTTGAGGAATCTACAAGTCTCGGAGTTTTGTTTGCTTTGGGATTATTACTTGGAACCCTGACATTTTGTGCTTTGTAACGATGATGTGGTTCAAAGGGGGACGATCCCTAAGGGCAGTGAATTCCCCTCTGCATGACTCACCATTGATGAGACTATAATCTGCAGTTTGTTAGCTCTTACCTAGGACCATGCCTTGGGTTATCAGTTCTAGGCTGCAAAACTCTGGATGATCTCTATATGGCAGCAAAAGATACAGAATTTTGCATTTCAAAAACCATTAATGCACATAATTACAAAGCTATTATCCTTCCTCCATAATATCTTAGCAGCCTTGGCTCCAGTTTTAGTCACTGTTCTGTTTTTTTTTTCTTCTGCACTAAATGCTCTAAGACACATTTGAAATATGTTGGGGAGAAGATTTATGTTTGAATTAAACTTTCATGGAAAGCAGACATAATGGGAAAATCCAACTTTTAAGGTTGCTGTCATTCATCTATTTATTTATTTGAAGTTCATTTGCAAAAAAGGCACAAGCAGTAAAAAAAAAAAAAGTTTTGAACCAGCAGTAAAAACATCTGTTGACTGTATAATCTGGGCTTTATTCATAAACTGCAACTGAAGTTCCTATTAATGTATATAGTCAAAGGTTTTGAAATTCTTAAATATATAATTGCTATTTATAAGTGAAAAACGTTATTGAGGTAGGCAGTCAAGATATACATTTATACCAGTTTAAGTTAATTGCATTTTTTTAAAAGTTCAATAAATAATTACAGGTTGATGTACTTTAAAGAGTTGTGGTTGCACAGTGGTTAGAATATAGTATTCCAGGCTAACTCTGCCAACTGCCAGCAGTTTGATCCTGACTGCCTCAAGATTGATTTAGCCTTCAACCCTTCTGATGTTGATAAAATGAGGATCCAGATTGTTGGGGGCAATATGCTGACTCTGTAAACTGCTTAGAAAAAGCTGTAAAACACTACGAAGTGGTATATAAGTCTAAGTGCTATCACTATTGTTATTATGATTGTACTTTCTGACCCATAGGTCATAATTTTCTTGATAGCATGGAAATGTGGCATCATCCTGTATTCAAATCAAAACTTTTACCATGATCTAATAAAAATTTTGATTTTAATACAGGATGCCACATTTCCATGCTATCAAGAAAAATATCCATTAGAATGCTCCCTTTCAACTGTTCTGTTCTGTGGAAACAAAAATAACCCATTATTTAAGGAATCATCTAGAAACTTCTGTACTCTGAAAGACTTCTTAAAGCTGCAGAATAAGAGAGCTGACTCTTTTATATTATAAAGCTATTTTCTTCTTTTCCTTAGTGTTTGATGTATATTTTATAATGCTTCAGTATATATCAAGCCTGTGACCCATGAAGTCAAATGCAATCCATCATATTATGACCTCCCCAGTGTTTAACTGCCCTGTTCGTTGCAGGCATGAAAAACAGAGCTGGGGGTGGGGGGGTCACATAATGAGTAGGTTGCTATACATTGATCACAGAATTATAGTGAAACATGCCAAATTGTGAAAGGAGATGAATTTACTTTGGCTCTTAGTTTCAAGGCCATTGTAACCCACCTCTTCCCTTATACCTAAAAGTTTATATTCTCTTGACTCTGATGTTTTCTTTTTATGATGGATGTTTCCTTAGATCCATGTTTTTAATTGATTAGCAAAAAATGTATTAACAATTTCATAATAACTTCACCCCTCTTAATTAAGAAATACAAATCTCTTCATTATATAATCCATGAAATAAGCAATATCTTCTCCTTATACAATTGTCAGCAAAAAGCCCAAACAGAGCTCTATCATATTAAAATTATTGAGCATAAAACTCACCTTTCCACATCTCAACTTTCAGCTATTGGCAAAACCCCATTTAAAAAGCATAAAAAGGTCCCCAAAACCTAATATAAATAAATTATATCTAAAGTTTAACATAACAAAAAGAGGCCATTTCTCCTTAAAAAGGAAAGGCAAATTGCAGTACACTCATTCTAAATGCCAACCCAAGAGAACCATCACAAATAACAACATATTCCATTTGAATAAACATTTCAACATCTCAGTTCTAAACTATCTAAGTAATCCCAGAATCCTAATATTAAAAAGACTACAATTTAACCCTACAGGAAAAACTATTCCTTTTTTAAAAAATCACAGTTAGATACTACATATTTAGATATTAAACAATTAGGATACAGAAAATAGGTGTAAAACAAAACATTTAACCAAAGCCACATATTTCCAGTCAAAATATTAATAAGAATCATGCAGAATGACATGTTCCATTTTAACCATGGTCAAACAAATCAATTTTGTCTTCCTTTTTTTGAAATACAGAACAGTCTTCCTTGGTGAACCAGCCCAGTAGTTATTGATCCTTGTTACAAATTTCTTCTTTTCTTTAAGCAGTCTATTTTGTAAATCCAACAAAGAAAAATGATTCCCATTACTCTCTGGGATTATCTTTTATATTTCCTTCTTAATTTTTTAAAACAGTTATTTTCTTTGTATCTGATGCAGAGGTGGGTTTCAGCAGGTTCTGACCAGTTCTGGAGAACCGGTAGTGGAAATTTTGAGTAGTTCAGAGAACTGGTAAATACCACCTCTGACAGACTCCACCCCCATCTATTCTCTGCCTCCTGAGTCCCAGCTGATCCGGAGGAAATGAGGATTTTGCAGTATCCTTTCCCTGGAGTGGGGTGGGAATGGAGATTTTACAGTATCCTTCCCCTGCCACGCCCACCAAGCCACTCCCACCAAGTCACACCCACAGAACCGGTAGTAAAAAATTTTGAAACCCACCACTGATCTGATGGCAGGTTCTTAGCCAAGGTTTCAGTCATACTGTTCTAAAGTAGAATTTGTTGTATATTTTGTTCTATAATGTTTTTGTTCTGAAGACAGACTGTTCTCAGAAAGACCCAACATATTTGCCATAATCGATTCGAAGTCTTGACATATCCTTGGTGGAATTCCTCAAAGATATCTCTAAATGTCATACTTTATTTTCTACAAACATGCATTTATTCTTTAAAAATATTTTAAAAGTCTTAATATTCAAAATTTAATACTCCAATGTTCTGTGAACCCTTCATTTTTTTTAAAAAAAAATGTGTAACCAAAAGCTTGCCCTTTTGCTCTTTATTTTAATTTCCTAAAAGTAATAAAAATAAATTTTCATTTTCATATATTAAGGTTTGAAGGCACTCATTCACCAGGTATTTGATGCTTTGTTCCTTTTGAAGGTATCTAGTTTCTTTCAAGCTATTAATAAAATATTTCTAAATGTAGTTAGCAAGAGAAGTGTCCAAATTTAGTGTCCTTTGAAAGGCTCCATTTACAGCTAAAGGAATTATGGTAAATTTCCCCTCTCTCATCAGTAATCATTGTCTTGTGTCTATTTGTGAGGAAAAGGGATGACTATTCCAGTTGCCAACAGTTTAGGTAATCTCACGTCTCTCTCTTTTATCCAGAGAGAAACAAGGAGCTAATCTACTGACTCCTTTAAAAAGTCCTATTATTTACTTTTGTATTTTCTTTGTATGCTACGCTATAAACTAAAAAAATTCTTAATGTAAAAAAAATAAAAATAAAAAGTCCACAAACGTTGGTTCCGCTTATTCCTGGAGTTGTCTTCAGTTGGTCATTTTCCTCAGAATTTTCTATAATTAGGGTTTTTTTTCACTATTGTTAATCATTTGAATGTTGTCTGGGCTTAGAACCAAAGCCTACTTGTTATTTAGCAGATGCCAGCTTTTGGAATTGTAATATATACCACCAACTAGCTCCTTGTTGTTTACACTGGCGAAGATGAAGTGAGGGGCCTAATGATCTCCCTTTTTCTACTCATGAGTGTTGTAATGGTGACAGTGTTGGCCATCAGCACATGCCGCTTTGGCATATCTGCCCTAATTTTTCTTGGCTCCCGAATTCATCCCTACTTCAGAGTCCAGGAGTCTTGGCACCCAGAAGGAACCTTTCTATTTTAAAGCCACATGTTTGCAGAGCAAAGCTATAACTCACTTACACAGTGGAATGGCTAAAGGCAGTAGAAGCAAGGAGACACATGCTTACTGATGCTCTTTGAAGGCACATCTCCCCTTGGAAATGAATTGGGAAGGCTCTGATCCCTGAACCCTTTTGAAAAATTGCCCTAATATATATTACAGCTGTAAGCAGGACAGCTGAGAAAGCCTCGGGCAGTTCTTTGCCTGCAGCAATGAGTTTTACAGCTGAGACCAACTCCACTTTTCAAATCTCCAAGTTGCCTAAATTATTCTGTTTTGTTTGTTTGTTTGTTTGTTTGTTTTAGTCTTTAGCTACACATGGACTTATTAGTTTTTTGTTTGTTTGTTGTTGTTTTTTTTTTTGCAGTGGGTGCATTTCCTTTAAGCAAAAACATGACAGTTTGAGCAAAGCTACTTGGCTGAGGTCCTTGAGCTTTATTTCTAATCCTAACTATGTGGCAGCTCACTTTGTGATACTGATTTAAATTACTTTAATATATTCCCAGAGGAGGAGAGATCAGAGCTTAACCGTGTTTCCTGTTCCTTGCTGTTTTATGAAAGGGCTTAGTGAACCAGAAAGTTCCATGATTGTTAATGTGATCTGTGCCCCAAGGTGAACGTGCATCAGCAATTCTATAGGTATTTTTCCCGACTTAGGGACCCAATGTAATTTCAATGGAAAGAAATATGCTTATATTCAGAAATAGTCATTCTTCTAGATAATGCTGTTTCTACTGCTGCTGCTGCTGCTAATGAAAAGCAATAGTGATGCTGATCATGAGAACACCTCTCTTAGCAGTATGACTGAGCTTGTTTTTCTTTGTTTTTTGTATTTTTTTTCCTAGCTGGGAGGCTGTGGGATCCTTGGAGTTGGCATATGGCTAGCCGTTACTCAAGGGAACTTCGCTACCCTCTCTTCTTCCTTCCCTTCTCTGTCAGCTGCCAACCTGTTGATCATTACAGGGACTTTTGTGATGATCATTGGCTTTGTGGGATGCATAGGAGCCATCAAAGAAAACAAGTGCCTCCTACTCAGTGTGAGTATTGAATGTGTCTTATCTACTTGTATCCTGCCTTGTGACCTCAGAGTGATTCTATATATGTTAATACTTAATATATTGTCAACTTCACATAGAGCATATCCCAGCATTTAATACAAGCAGTTTCCCATCAGGAGTAAGATACCTTTATCTAGAATCTTTAATGATGTTTAGCATTATGGGTTAACTGATTGTGAAAAATGGGATGCATGTTTGTAAATACCTGAGGTTGCCATCAAGCAAACCAAATAACAATCTAAAAAGCAAGGCTGTTACTTCTTGTGCTGATAAATGGATGCCTTTGAAGTTACAATTGGTGGATTGTATTTGCTGATGGAATGGTTTTTGCCAGCCAAACATTTTTCTCCCCCAGATCTTCTCAGATAGTTAGAGGAAAGAATTAGAAGCAATCCCATTGTTATAAGCAGATTTCTATTTGCAAAACTCGTCCTGTTTTTACATTTAGTATACTCTCCTTTTTAACAACAGGCTTGAGAGACATTTTCAAATTTGTATGATACAGCAATAGATAATTGTTAGGTTTTGATTGTTAGGTTTACATCCTGCCTTTTCTCCAGGAGATCAAGACAACTCACAACAGGGATCTTCCTTCATTTTATTCCTACACAACAAGCTTGTGAAGTTGGGTGGGCTATGAAAATAAGATTGGTCCAAAGTTACCCAGTGGATTTCCATAACTGTGGCTGCTCTTGAATTTGATATTCCCAGTCCTACTCCAACGGTAACATAGAAAGTAAAAGATAGAAAGAATTCATGTGTGGATAAAGAATAGCATATATTTCTTGCTTTGGAAATTATTTATCAAATTTGGAGATGGGTAGATGGAGAAAAAAAAAGAGAGAGAGAGAGAAAGAGATTTAGAGGAGTTGATGCAGAAATTGGATGAGTCTAGAAGTTGGAAGGTTGGAGGTCTCAGATCTTCTTTCCCCAAAATCACTTGATGTTCAAATCCTGGCCCTACCTCCTGCTTTATGGTTATACTTTGATAGTCCTTGCAGCTGTAATGATCATTCAGGTGAAGCCTTATCTGGCATCCTCCCCTAATATCAGATACATGAGAGAGATAGGACCGTCACATCCTGTACTGCCATTCTGCCCATTAAAAAATAAAAGGAAATAATTCCTATCTTACCATCTCCTAGCCATAGAGCATTAAGGCATTGGCTAGAAGAGTTCTCCCAGCTCTCAATCCCTCCCCTTCAACTCAGTAGCAATAAAACCAATATACAATATCATGCTCCAAGCAGCACACATAAAATGGTATTGGTACATTACAGTTAGAATTTTCCCCTCTTCTTCTTCTTCTTCCTCTTCCATTTTGAGGTTATGGCAAAGAGCAACCAAAAATCAACAAAAGTTAGCACAGAATCTAGTTAAAATCTATTTACTTATGTCTACATAAATATCCATTTTTTCTTGAGGTAACAACTCCCAGCCTCTTATTTACATAGATGCCCCTTTCCCTCAGGATTCCAATGAATTAATTCTGAGGCTGCTGGAAAGATGAAAAGAATTTCTCAGCCTTGGTGCCCAACCTTCACCCCTCTTCCAATTCTGCCTTTCTTTTAAAACCACTCAAAGTTTCTGTCTGTATGTGATGGAGGAATTGGGAATACCTTTCTCTGCTAAGCCTGCCTGCTGGCAACAAGAATATATGGACAACAAGGGTATTTATTTATTTACTTTTATTTATATTTTTTATCCCACCTTTATTACTTTAACTCGAGGTAGTGAGCATACGTAATACTCCTTCCTCTTATTTTCTCACAACCATTTTATGAGGTCAATTGGGCTGAGAAAGTGATTGGTCCAATGTCACTCAGCTGGCTTTTATGCCTAAAGCATGACTAGAACTCACAGTCTCCTATTTTCTAGGGTAGAAGTTTCACCACTATACCAAACTAACTCTGTTCCACCACCCTCGAGTCCTTAGCCATCCCATGCTCTAATGACCAAGCCCTTTCTAAATTTGCTTGCTACTTCCTGTTCCCATCATTGGAAGATGGTCCATGTGCATAGTCCCTAGAACATTTATTTGATTGTTTGTTTTATATGCTGCCCATCTCACTCTACAGAGCGACTCTGAGAGATAGGCCATAAAATATACTTTTTTCAGATGTTGCCTGAAGAAAGGGTATTTGTAACAAATGTTCATCCCTTTTGACTTTGATCCTTTGGTTTGAAGAGCAAATAAAGCATCACTTTTTGTGAATAAGTGGGATATTGTAAAAAAAAAATCTCTAACCACGTTAGCAAGTTTCTCTCAATGATGTGAAAGGGACTAAAACATAAACAGTGTCAATCCAATCCAAAGTATTCTTCTACAAAAAAATTTTTTGTATCTGTAATCCAACATAATGATTTCCTTCTGTTTACCAAAAAGAAATGGAAGAAGGAACATCAGGTATCAGGAGAAGATCTGCGTAGCCTTCAAACGAATATGAGAGACAGACTGAAATATTAGATCATGATAAAATAAATTTTAAAAAGATATGAACTATCTCCTTAAAAATGAAGAAGGCTTTGCTAAGGGGCAATCTTCTATTTTCTGTTATACCTTGCGATAGTGTGTCCACCTTAGTGCAGAATTACCCACTGTATATAAGAAGTGCATTTGCATTTTAATAAATTCATTGCTGACAGGATACCAGCATTAGTATTTGGGAATAAGCTCCACTGTCCTCATTTATGAACTGGATAAGCATCAATTCTGATGTATTTGAGATCTTAAAAATTCTTGGCTTGGGGAAAAAACAAACACTGAAATCAACTTTTCATCCTAGAGCAGATGTTCACTTTAAATTGTTTCAGTCAGTACAATTTAAAGCATGCTCGGAATATGGCACTCCTTAGATTAAACTCTTTCATATAGAAAAGAAAGCTATCGTGTTGTTCTCCTATGTTAAGTAAACAATACAGTGCTTTGATATGTAGGCAGTGTACTGTTTTGGAAATGGAAATAGAATAACAGAGTTGGAAGGGACCTTGGAGGTCTTCTAGTCCAACCCCCTGCCCAGGCAGGAAAACCCTACACCACTTCAGACAAATGGTTATCCAACATCTTCTTAAAAATTTTCAGTGTTGGAGCATTCACAACTTCTGCAGGCAAGTTGTTCCACTTATTAATTGTTCTAACTGTCAGGAAATTTCTCCTTAGTTCTAAATTGCTTCTCTCCTTGATTAGTTTCCACCCATTGCTTTTTTGTTCTACCCTCAGGTGCTTTGAAGAATAGTTTGACTCCCTCTTCTTTGTGGCAACCCCTGAGACATTGGAACACTGCTATCATGTCTCCCCTAGTTCTTCTTTTCATTAAACTAGACATACCCAATTCCTGCAATCGTTCTTCATATGTTTTATCCTCCAGTCCCCTAATCATCTTTGTTGCTCTTCTCTGCACTCTTTCTAAAGTCTCAACATCTTTTTTACATCATGGCGACCAAAACTGAATGCAATATTCCAAGTGTGGCCTTACCAAGGCATTATAAAGTAGTATTAACACTTCATGTGATCTTGATTCTATCCCTCTGTTTATGCAGCCCAGAACTGTGTTGGCTTTTTTGGCAGCTGCTGCACACTGCTGGCTCATATCTAAATGGTTGTCCACTAGGACTCCAAGATCCCTCTCACAGTTACTACTATTGAGCAAGGTACCACATATACGGTACCTGTGCATTTTGTTTTTCTTCCCTAAATGTAGAACCTTACTTTTTTCACTATTGAATTTTATTTTGTTAGATAGCGCCCAATGTTCAAGTCTGTCAAGATCCTTCTGTAGCTTGAGCCTCTCTTCTGGAGTGTTGGCTATTCCTGCCAGCTTGGTGTCATCTGCAAATTTGATGAGTTCCCCATCTATCCCCTCATCCATGTCATTGATGAAGATGTTGAAGAGCACTGGCCTAAAACAGAGCCCTGGGGTACTCCACTGCATACTTCCCTCCATGTAGATGCCGTTCCATTGAGGATTACATGTTGAGTGCGGTTGGTCCACCAGTTACAAATCCATCTGGTGGTGATGCTGTCTAACCCACATTTTTCTTCTTTATCTAGTAGTAGATTATGGTCTACTTTATCAAATGCTTTACTGAAGTCCAAGTAAATTATATCGACAGCATTCCTCTGGTCCACTAATTTTGTCACTTTGTCAAAGAATGCAATAAGATTAGTCTGGCATGATCTGTTTTTGACAAACCCATGTTGGCTTTTGGTTATTACTTTGTTGCTTCTAGGTGTTCGGTGATTTGTTGCTTGATTATCTTTTCCAGAATCTTCCCTGGTATTGAGGTCAGGCTGATAATTTCCTGGATCTGTTTTTTTTTTCCCTTTTTTGAAGATGGGAACTACATCAGCTCTTTTCCAGTCCTCTGGCAGTTCCCCTATGCTCCAGGATCTTTGAAAGATATAGTTCAGTGGTTCTGAGATCTTGTCTGCCAGTTCCTTCAGAAGAATTTTTCTTCCACTGCTATTTTTTTTAGTACTTAAAAGGTCCTTAAAAGGACCGTGGGATTGTGTGTGAAGCCAGGAGATCCTCGCGGATGTCTGGCTACCAGTCCATCTGTTACTCATTTAACACCACCCAGGAGGCACGTGTGGCTTAAGGGTTGCCACGGACATGAGTAACTTTGTGGGACAACGACAGCTACTGACTGGATCTCCAAACTCAACATTAAACTCTGAAATGTTATTTCTGTTTTCCTCTTAGGTTTTCTTACTGCTCTTTTCCTAATTGTTTTAATTGTTTTAACCTGTAAAAATGAAGTGTTTTAATATTGTGTGTGACCAACCATATGATAAATACAATAATTTTTTTCCACTTCACAATGACATATTTCCCTCACACAGCAAAAATAATTTTAGGAGATTCCTTAGAGTCATACTAGATTGCTTCCTAAAATTCAGTGTTTTCTCTCTCTCTCTTCCTCCCTCCTTCCTTCTACACACACATACATACACACACACACACACAATAACAAGATTG